CCGCCCCGCCCCCCCCCCCCCCCCCCCGCCCGTCATTGCTGAGCTAGCGGGGGATGTTTCGCACCTCCAGCCCGCCTGTTTCCACCAGCCCAATGTGCTCTTCGTATTAGGCCCTCCCTGGAAGGGTGAGCTCTAGGAAACACCTTCCCTCGTGTAAAGGGTCCACTGGGATGTCAGCTCGTCTAAACATGGAGGGGGAGGGAGCAAACCATTTCCTGGGAAATAGCCATTTCAGAAACATTTGCGCTACTGTTAGCGGCGCGGTAGAGCGCAGTACCCCCGAGTCCCCTTCTCTCAGGCCACGCGCGCCGCCGGCCAGTGAGAGACACATGCGGGAATTACACAGCGGCTCGCTCTCTGGGGACTTGCCCCGGATGAACGCGCTGAAGTGTCCACCCCGAGTCGCGGGAGTCAATTCGAAGGCCGCGGCAGGGCGAGGCACTGCTAGGACGTCGCGGCCTCATGTGCCACATCAGCTTGAGCCTGTGCGACGTTTGGTACGCGAGGAATTTGCTTTGGCCTCCTTCCTGTAACGCTGAATTCAATGGGGGTGTTTTCAGGCGACTTCAAGGTACCGGCTTTGAAAAGGCTTCAGTGCAGCTGATGGGTGCCAGGGAGCAAATGTAACGCCAATGGGCGGTGTCTTACTTTAATAGCGACTATCTTTAAAAAAAAGCCTAGTTAGCTTTTCATACATTGAATACCGGTATGATAGGCCTCAGCCTGTAGGTCCTACACTGCATGATCGAGCCATAAATCATCGACGATCACCAGTTGGGACCTATTTGTATGGTCCCCTTTCCTCTCCCCCCCCCCCCCCCCCCTCCTTTTCGTTGGAGCAGTGCCGCGGGACTGTGTCACAATCCTGCACAAAGAGAGTGTGGCTTTGCTGAAAGCAACCCCCTCAGTTGTAGCTGGTGTCGCACGAGGGACCCGCTCCCCCCCCAGAAGTAAACGTGCAAGTCTGGTAAACAGAGGCAAGCAGGCGCCCGCTATAAAAGGCGGCCCCTCCCTTCCCCAAGCAGAACTTTTCACGTGGACCGCACCAAAAGCACAAACAAAATGGGTTAAAACGTGTGTGTGTGTGGCGTGTCCTGCCGGAGGGATACACACTGTCTTATTTACATGCTGTTTTAATCTCCCGCTTGGTCTGTTTCAAATGGGCCGGGATACACACCCCAAACAAATGCTCCAGGAGCCATTGTGCGTAGGTTATATTAACCCCCACCCCAGCCCCCTGCTCTGTGTATCGCTTCTGGGGCCAGTTACACTTGATAGGGAAAATGTAAATAGAGCAATAATGGCAATGGAACAGGCCGATTTATATCTTGACAGATTTGTGGGCTAGATGAACAGGGCCCGAGGCTCCCTTTGGCCCACTTCCTGCATATTTCTTGGCGACTGGACAGGCTCCATATAAAAGATTCCCAGGCCATGAGTATTGGAGCCACCTATCAAGCGTGCCTGGTGACAGTAGTTATCTTCCCTGTGCCGAGACCAGCCTCCCAAACGTCCTGGGTGGTCGGACTGAGGGGAACACAAATACATGCCAACTGCTAGCCTGTGAACAAAGGGGAAATGTAGCCCTATGTCCTGGACCTGTTGGAAGCATTTGTTCCAGTCAAGATTTTGCATTTGTTCAGATCTGGAATAATAGGTGATTGACGCCTCCTCACAATGTTCTTTAACTCTCCGGGATAAATCGGAGCTTGTTTCTTGTTGTCATGGTTTTCAATGGGGTTCAATGGGATTTGAACCACTATCGACTCTGCTTTACGTCTACTGCAGCCTAGTCCATACAAATTTATTAGTTATGTCTTTTTAAATGAGATTAAATGGAAATGCCTCGCTTTCCTTCATGGAACCAGTCATTCATAGTTAGGTGGCCCTGTATCGCCTCATCATTTTAATCCCAGCACCGAGCCATACACTGCACTCGGCAAGGTATGTCTCTAGTATAATGCCTATTGTGTTGTGGCGCTCCTGAGCGGTGACTGGTAGTTTGTAATGGAATCAGATCCTTCTGCAAACAAAACAACGAAAGTCTAATCAAAGCATGTTTAATATGTCGTGCCCTGGGTCATACAGAGGCAACCAATATTGCCAGGACCAATGAAGTGAGGCAATATATTGAATTGGAGTTGTAAAGGGCCCCCAAAGAAAAGACACCGAAAAGCATTTATTAATACTTTGACCCCGAATGCAAACATATTCCTACTGCGCTGGGGGCGAAGGGGGTGGATGGGTTTCGGAGTTCACAGAGGCACAAATTCATACTGTAGTCAAGGCGCCTCTTAACTGGAGTTTGCCAAGCACCCTCTAAAGAAAGTGTAAAAAACTTCGTAAGGGAAAAAAAGTCAGGGGGAGAAAAAGAAAGTCTCTACTTCAGTGACCTCTCTTAGCCTTTTAATCTATTTAACATCCTAAGCCCACACTGGTGTGTAGAAATAAGTAAATGGTACTCTTCAAGCCTTAAGAGCTCTTCAGCATCAAATATTTACTCTTACTCTTAGAGTTTCTCTCAAATAGCACAAGAAACGGTCTCCTTATGACTTGAACTCTCTAAATATACCTACGTATTGTTATCTCTTCGGAATATCTGGTTCCAAAGGAAAATGTAATAACCTCAAGTGTATTACGGTTTGTTTTGATTGGGATCTACTGGGATACATTTTAAATGTTGCGGCTCTTTCTCTCAGCTTTAGCGTCTCCGGTCTCAGATGTTCATCTTTGAACGATCATTTAAACGAGCGAGACATATTTTATTTCGAAAGTGTTAGTATCTGCAGGTATCGGGTCCCTTAAGGGACACTCCTCATCAGTGGCAATTTGGCAAGTGGCAAGATGAAAATGTAACAGAGTTGTATCGAAGAAGCACTTTCAGAATCAGGCAGGACGTTGTTCAATAAGGAACTCGGGTTGAACAGCGCTAGTAACTCCATCATTGAGTTTAAAGCGCAAGTGACTTTTGTTTGTAGTTACTGTGAATAAAGGCAGTTCTCTTTAAGGGTACAACGACCTATTCTCGAGTCTCTGTAACTTCAACTTGCCAAAGGCTATGAAGAAAATACTGTCACATTATAATACGAAAATAGGATTTATATTTATATAGATATTTATATAGGTACGTACACACACAGTATCGTGCCTGTGCATGTATGCACCCGCCCTGTTTACGTGTACACAAACCCAC